GAGTCAGCGCTCCCCTCCCCCTCCTCCGCACGGTAACGTAACGGTGACGCAACAGGATTGTTACGGTAGTAACAGCGGTTACTACCGCTAGCGTTACTAGCAACACGGCTCCAGGCAACAAGGGTGCCTATTACGTGGCCGTTTTCCGTATGGTCCGATCAAGGCTATTCACAGTCAGTTGTACGGGGTCAGCCAGTCAGTGCGTTACCAACGAGTTCTCAGTTGGCAAGTTACGAGCTACAGACGCGTGTGCGATAACCAGTGATAACCAATTATATCTGGAGTGTGTAATTGAGGGAGACTTGTATAGCTCCCGCGTTATTAATACGTGAAGACTCTTGAAGATAGTGTTAAGAGATTTTGTTGTAGGGTTTGTAAAGTGTGGAAACCCGTAATATTGTGATAATTAATTGTAGCCGTTATTTGAAGATTGTTAAATAAACCAATTAACCATCTCTATGGCGTCTTCAGTAACGAAACACGCGACAATATTCATGTCTTAAAAGGGTTCACACTGTGATCTACTGGGCTCTGATATTGTGTTGTCTTGCAGGTGAACACTGACAATTCATGGGGACATACTACATCAATCTTTAGAGAAGAAACTTTGAAGATGGAGGCAGCATGTGAGATTTGAGGTGAATGTCAAGAGTAAGATATTCCAGAATGTGATGGTATGTAATTCGGTAGAGGGCCACTAAAGTTTTGGAGGAATTTTATGCCTTCATTTACCAAAATATGAGGAAGAGTCAGAAAATATGTCACAAATGGATATGAAACACAGAACATGTGATACTCAAAACTGGAAAAAACATTTATTTCTAGACATATCCTCACCAACAGAGAGACACTTGTTCTATCACTATACCAATGTGTCGACACTCACAGCATAGAAATCATTTGACTGTTGTCTCAGTCACTTCCGCATCTCCATTTCAACCTCTGTCACATTTCTTGACCCACTTGTGAGCCACTTTATGTGACAAATACTTCCCGCCATAAACAAGAAATATATCTTTATGAATACTCTTTGGATTGAGTCTTCCTGCCCATGAAAAATGCACACCAGAATGCTAATCTTTGGTAGTACACTCCTCAAGCATGGTCACAAATTTGACTACTGAACCCAGCCTCTGAACACGTCCACGTGCGTCTGCTACCTAGACTGTCATGAAGCTGGACTATGCTGCTACCTAGTGATAAACATAGAAAACCCATTATTTGTGACCTATTTACCGACTCTCTCTCTCGTATATGTCTGAGAAGAGCATGTCAATTTTTAGGTGTGGTGAAAATACTGTAACGTGTTTCGTTACTGAATACGCCATAGAGATCGTTAATTGGTTTATTTAACAACCTACAAATCTCGGCTACAATTAATTATAACAATATTGTGGGGTTTCACAATTTATAACCCTATTTGCAAATCAAATCACGCTATTGTCAGTAGACTACACATTTCACAGTACGGGAGCTATACTAGTGTCACTGTGTTACACACTCCCAATTAATTCTCGGTTATCACAAACTATCACTGATTCTCACACACGCGTCCGTAACTCGTAACTTGTGAACTGAGAACTTTGTTGGGGACTTCTCGTTGTTGGGCCACCTCAGGTTTCCTGTCCGCTGAGGTTGGCTCATTTTCTTCTAGACGGGCCTCCGTCATCTGCATGGCCAGCAAAACAGCGTCTGTCTTAGCCTCGTAGGCATCCATCTCCTTCAGTAGGAGTTCCAGCATTTCTTCAATTTTCATCATGTGGTAGTGTAAAACTCATTCTAACTTGTGGCGTGTTGAAGTTCGTCACTAATTCTGACACCAAATTGTCATGTGTCTTGAGTTCAAATCTCGTTGGTCACGTGTGTAAGTCCAAATCCCACTTCTGACACCAAATTGTCATGTGTTGGGTATATAACGCAACAAGTAACTTCACGCCTTAGTGGATATAGCGAATTTTATTCCACATTCCCTCTTACAATCACACAATTTACAGATCCACAATTATGCTATCTGCAGTATCACAAATACTAGACTGCAAATGCCAGAATACAACTGACTGGTTGCTGGCTAACTCGTTACTCTCCACTGGTTAAATGGAGAACTGTTGATCACACACTCTGACTCGTAGGCTTGCTCGGAACTAACTGTGAATAGCTTTCGCTGCTCCTTATGTAGCCTCGTTCCGGACAACTCAGAAAACAGCCATGTAATAGGCACCATTGTTGTCTGGTGCCGTGTTGCTAGCAACGCTGTCCGGAGTTGTTTACTGCTGCCTAGCAACCATGGTATCCCTTGGTGACATCACCACTGTTGACTCGCGTTGCATACCTACCAGGATGCTGGGACTCGGCTAACTTCAGCTCCGCTCGGCTCGTCACGGCTGGCGGGGTGGGTGGAGGGGCATCATATACAGCGCAACACGTCACAATACTTTTATTTTCATTTTATTGCTTGTTTGCTGAAGGATAAAATGGAGGGAATCTTAAATGTCCAGCTACATCAATAGAGAAATACCGTTATGTTAAAATCCACTGATTTATATTGCTGTATACAACGACAAGCCAAATCTAAAAAGCACACATAACATATGTAGTTATGAATGATGGTGATCAGATTGTGGTCTTCAGAGCTGTGATGCCGTTCAGTTTTGTGGATAGAAATTAATGTTTCAGAGGAACATATTGTAACGTGTTTTGTTACTGAAGACGCCGTTCGGATTGTTAATTGGTTTATTTAACAACCTACAAGTCTTGGCTACAATTAATTATGACACTGTTACGGGTTTACACACTTTACAAACCCTACACACTATTCTGTCCACTCTGCCCTCAGTAGTCTACATGTATTCACGGTACGATACGGGAGCTATACCAGTGTCACTGTAATACACACTCCCAATTACTTCTCTTGTGAGCCAAGCATCTGCTTCTCACGCTATCACTTCTAATCACACGTTCTGGTATTCTTCTTTCCGGCTGGCTACTGTTCCATCCGCACTGTGTCACTCCTGCTCACACACTGACTGACTGACTCCCTGGCTAACTCGTAACTTGAATAGTCTTTGCTGCTCCTTATTTAGCCCCGATCCGGACAGGTGTTTCAGTGTCCACTGCTACACTGCTTTGATGCGCGCTAAAATCAGGTGTTGCAGTCCACTTAAAATAACATAAATAATTACTTAAAATCCATTAAAATTTTACTATTAAAATCTTTCGTAGAATCCTATTCACCTCATAAGGGGCATCATCCACTTGTTTAAAGCTGTGTGAGGTGGAACATGATTCTACAAAATATTTTAATAGAAAAATTTTAATGAATTTTAAGTAATTATTTATGTTATTTTAAGTGGACTGCAACATGTGATTTTAGTGTGCATCAAAGCAGTGTAGCAGTGGATGCACCGAAACACCTGAAGATGGCCATCTATGGCCAAGACTTGTTTGTTAAGTGTTAAATGGTGAATATTTTAATAATTGTTCCATTATTGATGGACTGTGATACATAGACATTTACGTAATTAAAGATGTGCAACAGGATGCCGAAATACAGAACTCTACAATAAACTGCTCAAATGTATAAATCTGTGAAGTTAAATTTTAAGAAACAACTGTATTTCATGTCACTAATACCTGCAAATTTTCTCCCTTACACGGTACCCCTTTGTGTTGTGGTGCTGGGTTACTGCATGCCCGGTATCTCCGCTTGTTGCCATGCCCACAGGTTACTGAGCAGAGTGTCCACTCACTCCAAGCTGACCAGCCACCATTCACTGTTACATACAAGATTAGCTAATGTCAGTGAGAATGATTTTACTCAGGACCAGATTATAACTTCAAGGCCCTAAGCCAGTGCTGTCCAACGTTTGTATGTACTCGGGGCACAATTCACTACTGCTGCTGCTGCTGCTGCTGCTGCTACTACTATTACTAGTACTTCTACTACTACTACTACTAATAATAATAATAATAACAATAAAATAATAATAATAATAATAATAATAATAATAATAATAAAATAATTAGAAATTTAATACTG